ATCTATCTATCTATCTATCTATCTATCTATCTATCTATCTATCTATCTATCTATCTATCTATCTATCTATCTATCTATCAAGATGCAAACAGTCAAACTAAGTTTCCGAGTTATTGAAAAAATAGTCAGCAAATGACCATGTGAGTAAAGTAAAGTTCCCCTTTCAGACCTTGCGATCTATAGGGCAGATTATGTTAAGGTCATCTATTTCTTTGGACAATGTTTAACGAGCAGGGTGTCAGGTGACCTGCACAACGAACAACCGCCTTTACTTTCCCCAAAAATGTACCCGTTAGAGATAAAGCGGCCTAAAAATCCCAAAATTTAAAATCCCAGTTTTCACCGAGATTACAACACAACATGAAAAATAGGACGAGATTATAGAAACAATAGATAACTATATAATGTTCCATGTTTATAGCCGGAGAAGGCTTAAGCCATGAGTTCGAATTCAGTTCGTTTTCCCGCCTCTGAGTTTGTGTGATAACACAAACTCTCTTTGTAATCTTGTTTAAAAATATATTTGTAAATGCATGCTTTTTCATTGTTAGTTTAGATCTATTACAAATTTAATTACATGACTGATCCAAACTAGTTTATACCACTATGCTTAAAATAATCTTTTTTTTAAAGTATTTAAAAAATATTTTCTTGTTGAAATTTATATGTTTTGTTGTCCTGTCCTCCTTTTTAAGGTTTTGTCCTCTTTTTGTCCTCCTATGGGTGTGAAGGTATCTGGTAACCATAAGTGGGTCCAACGTTTTCTTTTTCTACCCATTAGATATTTTACAAGTAAAAACAAGCGTACAGATAGAATATATATATGGTAGAATAGACTATAACCGTACAGATAGAATATATATATGGTAGAATAGACTACAAGCATACAAATAGAATACATATGGTAGGATAGACTATAACCGTACAAATAGAATATATAATGTGAAGTAACGTCTGTATTATATAAGATAAGATAAGGATAGACTATAAGTATACAAATAGAATATATATTTGGTAGAATAGACTATAAGCATACAAATAGAATATATATGGTAGAATAGACTATAAGTATACAAAGTTACAAATAGAATATATTTGGTAGGATAGACTATAAGTATGCTAACAGAATATATGGTAGAATAGACTATAACCGTACAATTAGAATATATGGTAGAATTGACTAATTTTGGCCGTATCACTATTTTATGTTATAAATTAAGCATATTTGTAATTATCCCTTCATGATATTTATTGTGACAACTGATTGGGACGTTACCTTGATATTTCTTTTATATTTGTGTTTAGACAGTACAAATAATTGTAAATAATGAGGGTTGTAGTATACTTAAGAGTATAATGAATTATTTTGCAATTTAGTTGCTATAACCGGTAGACAGTCTGGCCCACTTAACTTGCCAAGTGTTTCTGCATCTTTTAATGTCTAATTTCTCAATGTAGACTAGTAAGAAATGATTTTTTTTTTAAACAACGTTCATTACTATTTTTAAATACTATTCGTTGCTTTAAAGAATTATTTCATCACTCGATAATGTATATAATCTATATACGTAATATACCTATATACCTTTGGATCCCCTCTCCCCCTATATATGTATAGCTTTTATATAGCGCTACTTTCATGCTTAAAGCATGCTCAGAGCACTATGGTCCAATCTCAGTTGTGGACCAGTGGGGGGAAGGGGGTATCTGGGAAAAAGGTTTTCCGTGCTGCCTTTAGGCGCTCAGTAAACACAACTCTGCTCGAGTCGGGTGTCGAACCTCGAGCCCCCTTTTTTAGGTAGCCAAGCCAATCTAAGTTCAAGCGTACTTAGCCTCTCGACCAGTTATCGATATTTATTTGTTTTTGTTTCTGCACTGAGCTTAGGATGAAATTGAGGTACGACCTTGTAATGCCACCAGAGACACTGAGATTCTCTGCAAGACTGGTCTATATCGACATGAGGTGCCCAATGACAGATGCCAATGGAAGTGTCAGCGCTGCCATGTGTGTGGTTTGGGTAAACAACTCGACCGCAATTACGTAGCTCGAAGCTGTGGTAACTACACGAACACTGTATGCTGCCCTGATGAGGACATGATCGCACCGGAAGGAGAATGCGTCCGAAAGGTAACAAGCAATGCACTACCCAACACGTCTTCGCCCAAAGACATCATTCACCAGAATACTCAAGGAAGCAGCTCGTGTAACTTTCTAATTTCCAAAATATACTTCATTATGTTGTTTTGTTCCACTTTTGTACTTTATATAAAATAAACATAGACATAATTAAATATAGACTGGCCGAAGGAAGTAACTTCATGTAACTTGAATACATGAAATCTATTGTATTCGGATTTCCGAATTATTAAAAATTGCATGATCTTCATTCTTGGAGATAAAAAAAAACACTAGTGAAAATCATGTAATACTTATATAGGTTATGGCTGAAAAAGATATGAATACTCAACTTTTAAACTGCTCATAAATGCTGTATAATAAAGTACACAAAATTGCAAGTCACAAATTTTCGTTTCATAAAACTCTTTAATCGTCCAGTCTATATTTATTTATGTCTATGAAAATAAACGTATCGATTGACAAGAGTACTATCCCTTTAGCTGGCCCCCACACTCCTGAGAAATGTTTTTTTATGTTTAAACTTTTATAATGTCACAGTCCCTTCATGTACTTTATTAAAGTGATTATTGAAAAGAACTTCGCAATCATTCCAATAGGCTGAAAAGTAGTTAGTAGATCAATATTTACATCAACATCTTATGATTGTTTACTGACTTGTCTGTAGTTGATTAATTTAGTCTTCACTCTGTACATGTTTAAATAGCTAATCTGTCATACTCAGAGTTTGTACTTTGTCTTTTTGACACTAATTTGATATTAGATATGTAGAATAACCAATTTCATTTTATTTTGTTTTTCTTTGATGCAAAACTAAAAATTGTAAATGTTTTGTTGTAAGTTTTTTTTTAAGGCAACATCAGACATTTTTTTTAACCTGACCATCTCACATTGCATCTTGTACAGCCATTTGAATCAAAAGAAACAAAGAGGCACGGATAGAACAAGTCATATACCAATGTTAAAACATCCATTCTTACTTTATGTTTAGATAACATTGTAAAATAAACACATATCAACATACACACACTTAGATTTAAAAAGGAATATATCAGATGTTTGGTTTAGTACCGTGTTTTTTTATTTAGAACTCTAGCCGTAAAAACATTTTTACAAAGCTTATATCAACCCACTCTGTCTTGTATATTTTGCTTGTTTGTAATTCAATAAGCAATGAACAAGAGTTTTATAATCAAAAACTTAATTGTTTTTGACAATGTAACACCCTTCCTTTAGACTATTTACCATTAAATTCTTCCTCGCCGTTCGGCTCATTGGGCGGCAAGCTGTCTCTACAAAATTCTGCCACTGGTAATATCTGAGGCCTCTTACCACCTGGCGTCCACTGCTCTGGAGGTCCTCCATGAAGGTGTGGCGCCAAGTTATACGAAGATATCCTTGTATGCGCTTTCCTCGTATCGGCCTCCATGTCATCACAACCGCCTTTTGATTGATATGCGTAATTCATTTTGTCGGAGAACATGTCCTGCCAACCTCACGCGACGCTCTGTCATAACCTCAATAAGTGGTAGACTCCCATTTTGGCATAGAACTTCCTAGTTTGAAACTCGATCTCTATTTTTGACTCCTAAGTCCGTCATAGCCATTTATGTTGAGCCAAACTTTCTCTTTCTCAATTTTGACAGAAGTCTCGCATGTATACGTAGCTGTTGGGATGAAGATTGTATTGAGTAAGTGTATTATTGTATTGAGTAAGTGTATTATTGTATTGAGTAAGTGTATTATTGTATTGAGTAAGTGTATTATTGTATTGAGTAAGTGTATTATTGTCTCAAGTTCAATAGCTTGACCAAATAGAATGCAACCTTTGTAAAATGCTCCCTGTCTTTCCTATTCTGCACGCTATACGTCATGGTACAATCCCCACAGAGTTTGTTAGGATGCTGCCAAGGGCTTTGTTATCTCAATAAGTTGTGTATGTATTTTTTAAAAAGCTTATAACAACTCACTCTGTCTGTTTGTCAGACTGGTAAAAAGTTTGTTCACGCTGTTTCTCCCATACACATTCTCTGATCAAGTTGAAACCTTACATAATTATTCATTGGCATAGACACGACATTAATCAATACAAAAACTAATTAGTCAATTATTTACTGTTAGTTAATTATTTTGTTTGATACTAACAAGGGAAATTAATCACAAATGCGGCTAAATATGTAGGGTTTCGTCCCCTTAAATAATTTAACACGCAAGCTTTCATACACCCATTCTCGGATCAAGTTGAAACTTTAAACAATTATTTATAATTCCTAAAAAAAAAACCACGAATCAATTAAAAAATTAACCAATAGGTAAATTAAGTATTGGTAATTAATTTTTTGTTTGATATCCAATAAAGAAAATAACTTCTACATTTTTGGGAGATATAGTTGTAAGGGCGTAGATCTTTCCCTTGGATAAGCTTTGTGTTTTAAAAAGGATTTTAAAAATATTTTTTGCATGTTTAAAATGTCTATTAGACTTGGTTATCGCTATTAGTTGTATGTCGATAGCTTTAATGTCTCTACGAAGCTATTTAAATTGTCTGTTGATCTTTTTGATGTATTTTTTTTCATGCTTGAAAATATTTATTGTGCATCTGTTGGAGAGGATATTTGAAAAATGTAAATATAGCTGTGCTACCAAATCCACAATGTATTTTTTTTCTAACAGCATATCATTGAGACGTAATGCAAAGCTTGAGTCTCTTTTTTACAAAGCTTATATCAACTCACTCTGTCTGTTTGTCTGGCTAATAGTTTGTACACGTTATTTCTCCGACACCTAATCTCGGATCAAGGTGAAAATTTTCACAATTATTTTTTCTTTGCCTAACAACACAAGAACCAATAAAAAAAATTAACCAATTAGTAAATTGACTATTGGTAATAAATTACTTTGTTTGGTATCTCATATGAGGGAAAGAAATAGTAATTGACAGAAGTGGTGGTATAAGCTGAATTAGTCCCCTTTATAGATTGAGGCTTATTTCAAATTTAATTGCATGACTGATCCAAATTGATACACTTAATATCATCATCATCTTTCCTTTGGGTTCCTCATGGAACATAGGGCCTCAGCAAAAACACGCCACTCTCCACGGTCTCATGCTAATTTTTTTCCCAGCTATTTCCGGTCCTCTCGGCTTCCTACAGTATACTGCGTCGCCATGTTCTTTTTGGTCTTCCTCTACGCCTTGTTCCCTGGGGGTTCCACTCTAAGGCCTGCCTAGCTCTGTTGTTGGTATCTTTTCTAAGGGTGTGACCAATCCATCTCCACTTCCTCTCTAATTTCTGCACCTCTATATTTTTCTGCTCACTCATCTCCCACAGTTTGGTGTTTTCTATTTTATCGTACCAGTGTATTTTTAGGATATTTCTCAGGCATCTGTTGATGAAGGTCTGTACTTTTGTTGTTGTCGCTTCAGTTGTTCTCTATAATTCAGAACCATACAGTAGGACAGCCTTGACATTAGAGTTAAAGATTCTTAGTTTAGTCTTGTTTGAGATGTGAGGAGATTTCCAGGTTGGTTTGAGCTGTGTACATGTCTGACGCGCTAGATTTATACGACTTAGAAATTTTATTAGAATGTGAGAAACCAGACATAATTGCTGGAACAGAAACTTTTCTACATCCTGAAATTTATAATGCAGAAATTTTCAATAGTAATTATGAAATTTTTAGAAAAGATAGGGCTGATAATCATGGAGGAGTTCTTTTAGCAATAAAAACACTCTTATAGCAGAAGAAATTACCTTACCTAACTCAAAAAATATAGAATCTACATTTTGTAAAATTAATACCACCTCAACATCCCTAATAATAGGCAGCATTTACAGACCACCAAATTCTAGTTTAGAACACATGCAGAAACTATGTAATCAGATTACTACACTTAAAGAGACATATAAAAATGCATTTTTTTTGGATTATGGGTGATTTCAACCTACCTGATATAAATTGGAAAACACTAACCATAGAAAAACACCAAAACCTTAAGGACATAAATGAGCTTTTCATAGAAACTTTACACAACCTAAGTTTAGATCAAATCATTAAAAAGCCAACTAGATTAGACAACACATTAGATCTCTTCATAACCAACAGACCTGGATTAGTAGTTGATTATGATATTATCCCTGGTGTATCAGACCATGAGATCATAAAAATACACAGATAAAAGCAGTAGCCAATACAAAACCCAAAAGAAAAATCTTACTCTGGAATAAATGTAACCTAACACAACTACACCAAGCTGCATTAAACTTTCAACAAACATTCTTATTAGAAAAAGACATTAACCAACCAGTCGATGACCTCTGGAATTTCATTAAAAACCATCTTAAAAGCATTATAGAAAATCATATACCAACTAAATACACATCAAACAAAATAAATAAATGCTGGTTTAATAATAGACTAAAGAAGCTTTGTAAACAGAAGGAAAACCTATATAGAAAATTTAAAGAAACCAAGGCAGAAAGAGTTTACAAAAAGTATATAAAAATTAAACACCTAACCCAAAAAGTAAGCAGACAGCTGCAGAGTGAATACATAAACAATGTAATATCTAAAGATAACAACAAAAACCTATGGTCATACATTAAGTCTAAGAAAATGGAAACAACAGGCATAGCGCCATTAAAAGATGAACATAACATAATACATAATGATATATATAAAGTAAAGCAAACATCCTAAACAAATACTTTGCATCAGCATTCTCAGCCCCAGGTGACAAAGACATATTTCTTAATTTGAACCAAGTAGACAACATAGAAGATTTAGTAGTACAAGAAAATGGAATTAAAAAACTATTAGCCAACACCAAACCAAATAAAGCGTCTGGTCCTGATGGTATTCCAGATAGATTACTCAAAGAACTAAGCAATGAGCTAGCCCCAGTGTTCAAAATACTCTTTCAGGCATCGCTTAACCAGGGCAGAGTACCAAAGGACTGGAAAGAAGCTGATCCAGGAAACTACAGACCAGTATCACTTACCAGCATCACATGTAAAATCCTAGAACACATAATATGTAGCAACATCATAAACCACTTAGACAAACATAATGTCCTCACCCCATACCAACATGGCATTAGGAAATATAGATCATGTGAAACACAACTAATAGGACTAATTGATGATTTTTCTAAAGGTTTAGATAATAGTGAACAAATAGATGCTATCTTACTAGATTTTTCCAAGGCTTTTGACAAAGTTCACCACCATAGTTTGCTTAAAAAATTAAAATATTTCGGCATTAATGGTCCACTGCATCAGTGGATTAAAGATTTTCTGATAGGGAGAGAACAAACTGTAATAATAAATGGCTCTAAATCAACACCAATAACAGTAAACTCAGGTGTACCTCAAGGAACAGTCTTGGGTCCACTACTATTTTTAATTTACATAAATGATTTACCAAATTGCGTTAGTTCAGGAACAAAAGTCAGATTATTTGCAGACGATTGCATAATATATAGAACAATAAAAACAACACAAGACACGGATATTTTACAAAGAGAATTAGATGAATTACAGAAATGGGAATCAAATTGGAGCATGTCTTTCCACCCAGAAAAATGTCAGTTGTTAAGAGTAACAAAAAAACTAAAACAAATTAATTCCACTTATCTTATTCATGGCAAACCAGTAACACAGACTAAAAACGCAAAATACCTAGGTGTTATAATAAATGAAAAACTGTCATGGAATCCACATATTGATGAAACTATAAAAAAAATCCAACAAAACATTAGGGTTTAATAAAAGAAATTTCTATAAATCAAATAAGAACATAAAACTAAAATGTTATTTAACCTTGGTTAGGCCAATAATAGAATATGCATCCACCGTTTGGGACCCCTCAACTCAAGAAAACATTAAGAAATTGGAACAAACACAAAATAGAGCAGTGAGATTCATAACAAACGAATATTCACATTTGACTAGAGTAACACCATTAGTAAAATCACTAAATTTAGAAAGCCTTCAGGACAGAAGACTCAAAAGTAAAGTAGCAATTATACATAAAACACTGAACCATAATCTTCAAATACAAAATTTAATAAAATACTCTGAAAGACACAAAGATAAATTAGTAGAATCACTAAATTTAGAAAGTCTTCAGGACAGAAGACTCAAAAGTAAAGTAGCAATTATACATAAAACACTGAACCAAAATCTTCAAATACAAAATTTAATAAAATACTCTGAAAGACACAAAGATAAATTAGTAAAATCACTAAATTTAGGAAGCCTTCAGGACAGAAGACTCAAAAGTAAAGTAGCAATTATACATAAAACACTGAACCATAATCTTCAAATACAAAAACAAAATCTAATAAAATACTCTGAAAGACAAATAAAGGCACATTCCTCGTCCCATATGCTAGGACAAATTTGTACAAATACTCCTTCTTCCCTAGTGCTATTAGAGCATGGAATGGGTTGCCTGAGCTAGCCAGAAAAACCAGTGACTTGGCAGAATTTAAGTCATTGGTTAATATGCATGACTAAATGCATGACGCGTAGGACGTAATCATCTTCTTTTTTGAAGTAACGTCTGTATTATATAAGATAAGATAAGATAAGATATCTGAACCATTCAAAATTTATATTTTAGATATAGATTTAGTAGATATAAATCTTAAGAGCAGTGGCGTCAATAGGATAGGTGTCACCCCCACCCAGCGTTTCACTTATTCTTCCCAATAAAAACTATCGTTGGCTAGTTCTTTTTTCTGCAATAATACAGTTCGTTGATTGCTGTTACACAACGTTCAAATGAGTGTCGATTCTATTTTATTATTTTTTTTTGTCGCTGACATTTATTGTTAATTATTGCATAGATTAACATTTTAAAGATTTTAAAATTCGAAACAAACCAAACATCAACTAGACAAGCTTTCCTTAGAAAACTTTAACGGAGACTTTTGAACATTATATAGTGATAGTTTCTTGAAGAAGTCTACTGAAAAAAAAGCAACTTTATTGATCGGTACACAAATTTAAAAAGAAATTTATGTTTTCTTAGCATTTAAAAATCTACAATAACTTTAGAAAATAAAAAATACATTTCCTTTTCGGGATTTCAAATTTGAAACGTATAAATAACTTTAAACTCAATATCTTTAGCAACTTCTTTTTCAATGGACAGAATTGCTTGATTTTGAAATTCGTTTTTCAAAAGCTATTAATAGTTTCATTAACTTTAGTTTTGAAAAGCTTATTTCACATGACGCCAAGTAGAAATACATTTGGCAAGAAAAATTTAAAGGCTTAAATCTAAGGCTGGTAGAGATTGTTTGACGTCCTTCAAAACATTGCTGGCTGTAAATGTCTTCTAGTTCACAAGATCTTGTCGTCTGGCTTAGTATAAAAGAGATTGATGCACTCAGCATTAACCTCCTGTTCCTGTTGAATAAAGAATCCGGGATCTTAACAATACCATTCTGATATTTTCTTATTGTTAAAACTTATTTTCTGTTGCAAAAACATGCTAGTTTAATTTGACAAAAGTAATCTCAATAACATTTTGAGCTAACTTGTCACACATTTCGTAGAGTAAATGAAGTGCTCTAGCTTAGCCACAACTTTGCCAACAATTAGCACTTTTGACAAGAAAGTCAAACAATGAAATGCATGCATGTATTCACAGACATATGTCTTTGCGCTGCGCTTCTAGTGTTTGTATTTTCAGAGCGATGGCAAAGATTTTCGCCGTCACACTTTTATAAAATCTTTCTTTCATGGGTCTATCAGCAACACGATGGGCACACCAGCAAGTTGTTCATATGACACTCTATCATTAATTAAAATATCCCATCGATTGGTAAAAGCGGCAAATAAAGAAAACTTTTTTTTCTAGAAAACCTAAAAAATGTATAGTAGAAGCATGTTTGAATTTTGACCACATAGCTTAAATAAACGGTGTACACATCCATTCAAGTTTCTTTTCTTCATTAAAACTGCCTGCACTTCTTCATGGATTCTTCACATTCTAACTTCATTACCATGTTTCTGAGCTCATCATATCAATCTCGTTCCTGCGTTTTAAATTATCAGAACTGCTAACATCAGCTTTTGGTCCACTTAAAGAAGAATATCCCGCAATATT